TGTGCATATATTTGAATGCCCCTTGTGAGTAAGAGGCTCTGGCTTTTTTATGTATCTTCCCTCTAACCACATGTAAAATATGGACTACATTTTCCATTATGTGTCTTTCTCAAGGAAAAGGCTTCAGTCCTGCACTTGAGAACACAGTTCTCACTAACAGTTAGAAGAGCCAAGGGCAAAATAAAGTGCTCTAGTAGACACCATTCTCCATGCTCAGAAAGGACAGGACAGAATTCCTGGAAAAGCTGCCGATGACAGCTGACAGCCTTCCCCCATGCTCACTCTGAAACCAGAGACTAGGAGCAGAGTTATTCATGGCTCTAGCCAAGGGAGAAGAGGGGTGAGTCACCATCCTGCAGCCTATCCTCTGGTGAACTGGTGGCTAAATTCTTGGAGCTCTAGAGCAGGTTGCCACTGGCCAGACCTAGGGCCTAGGCTGTCCGTTCCTAGTATAGGAACGAGTATATATGGCAACAAGCCTGTGCAGCTCTATGCAGCTTGGTTTCTTCCTCTAGGAAATAGCTCAAAAGGCCAAATGAGGAAGAAGCTACCAGGCTCAGACCCATTTCACCCCTTGCCTCAGAGTGTTTTTTATTTTAATTAATTTATTTATTTTAGAGAGAGACAGAGAGAGAGAGCGTGGGGCGGGGCAGAAGGAGAGGAAGAGAGAGACTCTCAAGCAGACTCCCCACCAAGTGGGGGCCTGATGCGGGGCTCTATCTCATGATCCTGAGATTATGACCTGAGCTGAAGCCAAAAGTTGGATGCTTCACCATCTGAGCCACCCAGGCGCGCTATGCCTCAGAGTGTTCTAATTGGACTGCCAGGAGAACGGGCACAGTCACCGGCCTGAGCTGTCTCATGTGAGCATGGTGAGTGGATGCTGATATGCAGACCCATCATCCACAATACCTTACTCCTGGAGATCCTGGGAGTGGATCATAGAAAATCCATTCATTCAACAACCAAACATTTATGGAATGCCTCCATAATATTGGTTTCTGGAATCTTGTTGGGTAGCAGGGACACAATGATGAAGAACACATGATCTTTTCCTTCAAGGAGCTTGCTGTCTATTATAAAGATACAGATGTGAATGAATGACTATAATAACATATGCTTGGTGCTTGGCCAGAAGTGTATCCAGGGTGGCAGAGGCACAAAGGAGGAGGTGAGTTATTCCTACTTAGAATGAGAAGACTAGAAAAAGCTTCCTGGAGCAGGTGCTATTGGAGCTTAGTGTTGCTCTTTAACATGGACTCCCTGTGCATCCCTGAAGCTATGTCTGACCCCAGAGCCAGGACCTAGCAATCATCAGCTAGAGTCCAACTGCTGAGCATGGCCACCTCCGTGCCCAGGATTTGGGGTAGGCTTATGCAGAAGGATTTTTAAACTAGAGACAATGGGTCTAAGCCTAGGAACATAGTGTGATCTCTCAGTGTCAAAAACCCAGCCCTCAGAAAGGACATGGATTTGAACCCACAGTGGGGTTTCACTTGGCCTTTATCTTTGTTCAGGTTTTCCCATAAGCAGACCCTGACACAAAGCCAAATCTTCAGGAAAGGCAGAGTGAGAAACAGATTTATTAGACAGAGTTTTGTGACAGCAGTATCTCCAGCTCCTCACGGATCGGGGGAGGGGGCAGGGAAAAGCAGGGTCCACACCCAGGTGTGGATTCAAAAAGGCCTCGGTTCTACTGTCAAGACTAACAGTAAAGAGAGAACCAGAAATATGGTTTAGGATAAGAACCTGATCAAGGAAGGGCATTTCTCAAAGGTAACAAACACTTTCCGGTTTCATTTTATAAGGAAACTATTGTTATTAAGAATTTCATGGGCACCTAGGTGGCTCAGTTGGTTAAGTGTCCGGACTCTTGATTTCGGCTCAGCTCATGATCTCAGGGTAGTGAGATCGAGTCCTGCATTGGGCTGGGCATGGAGGCTGCTTGGGATTCTCTCTCTCCCTCTCCCTCTCTTTCCCCACTTGCTCTTGTGCATGCACGCGCTCTCTCTCTCTCTCTAAAAAAAAATTTCAATAAGTTGGATCCTCATTACTAAAATGCATTCTATGTTTAAATTTCAATCTATTAGCAAATTAAATTCAAATAATTGAATTTAATATTATGGAGCAACCATGCCATGGAGAGTGAAGTCTAGAATCTTTTATTTCTCACAGGAAGAGCACTACCACACACCACTCATTTATCTGGGGACAGAAACCTCCAATTATAAAGTCAGCCTTGAGGCAGAGAGACATTGCTGAGGGGCCTGGAGCCCCTAGACCTTTCAGTCAGACCTTCACAGCCTGGAATATCCTCAGCCAAAATAGAGACAGGAGTGTTCATACCTGCTATGTTCTGGTTAGCCCAGTTCAACCCCTACCTCCTCATTGTGATCACTGGGGTTTTTAGAAAGCCATCCTGCTGAAGAGGACACCTAGGAAATGGTGACCCTGTTTGGAGGCAGCAGCAGATGATAGACCCCCTTATAGTTGAGACCACAGCTCAAATCCCAACATAGTTGTTTACCAGCTCTGGGACCTGCAGCTAAGTTGCTCAGCCTCCTGGTACCAATTCCTCATCTGTAAAATGCAAATAAAATTACCATGAAAATACTGCTAGCCTCAGTCCTCAGGATTGTAAGACTGTAGATGGATTTGCTGTTGTGCAATGCTTCTTGCTCTTCCTGTAAATTCCGAAAGGGTCAGATTTCTACAGCAGCATGTCACCAAGTTTGTCTCCCTTGAATGACATAACACTAGGGAAGCCCCAAAATTTCTTCTGAGTTGTGTTTTCATAAACAGAGTTCTGATTTTTTAAGTCAGAAGTTTGGAAAGTTTTGCCCAAGATTGGTTCCTTAACAGCTGTGTCTAGATAATATAACCTGATGTTTGATGTTATGAGCTTATATCTCTTCATAATGTCTATACAAAACCTATCTTTCAACTAGATTTGACTTGTTAAAATCTAAGATTTTAAACTGCTTAAAATGTTCACTCAAAGAAATTAGTTAGCTTCATTACATGAAACTTTGCTATGATTATTACATTGTCCTGAAGCCCTTGTACACTTTCCAGTTTACAAGAGATATTACCAAAATATACTCACAGATTTGGAAGATGAGGATGTGGACATCTTTGTTTATCTATAGGACTATCAAGAACCATTATGGGTTTCTACACAGTAGAATGACTTGGTCAGATTTTTATGTTAAAAGATAATGTCTGTAGGGTAGAGGCAAAGATTCTGGACAAGTCCAGGTGGATGCTGGTGAGGATCTGAACTGGGAAGGGCATAAGACCCAACGAGAAAAAGGGACATGGAATACTCGTAGTAGAATGTAAATATTCAATCACTCTGTGAAAATTTTACTATTCTATTCTTTCTCAACCTTTTCCTTGCTGAATTAGAGGGATGGAATGTAATTATTTCTTACCCTCTGGGAGAGTTCAAAGACCCGGCCTCCCATGCCCTTAAAGAAAGGGATTTGACTATTTTGGCTGCTTTTGATTTTGGCTCTAGATTTAATGAGTCATTAAGGTCTGTTATAAGTGAACATTCGGTATGGAAGGGATAAAGGGGCTGTGGGGATGGACAGACTGAAGACAGGAGCAATAAATGGACATACTATATGGGACCCCAGATGCCTAAGAATTTATCTGGAGGAAGTGGCCCAAGAAGGGAAAAGCCCAGTGCTTAGAGAGTGGGCCTGAGGAGGGATCTGGGTCCTCTTCTATCCTCTTCCATGACAGCCCAGCAATCACTGAGCAAGAACCTCTTGCAAGATAAGGCAGAGACAGTCCTGAGGCTCACCAAGTCATGTCATTTTTCCTCCTGGACACACAAGGAGTCTATATTCTCCATTCCTCAGCATTTAGGTGGGACCATGTGCCTCGTTCTAGTCAATGGGATGTGGATGGAAGTAGCAAGTGCCACTCCCAGACCTGGAATGTAGGAAACCACCTATGCTTGATCCTGCTTTCCCTTTCACTACACCCTGAGGCTCATAAATACAAAGACAGTGAATCTATAGGATAGGAAGAACTTGGAGGACACCCATCCTAGAAGGCTCTGTGTGAGGAGTATCTGCATTGAACTTTACATAAGTGAGAAATAAACATTTATAATGTAAGCCACTGAAATCTGGGGTATATTTGTTAATGTAGCATGGCCTTGCCTGTCGTGACTGAAATACCAACTGATTGTGCTTTTAGTCCCTAAGAGAATGTCACTTTGTGGGCACCAGAACCAGACCCCATAAGTTTACAGTGGGAGGGACATTTGGAAAGAAATACGATTTTCTGGGGTTCTTTCTGATTGCCTCTTGGTTGACCCTCCCCCACCCCACCCCGGCCATGGCACTTCAGGATGCCTGTGAATCCAAGAGGTGTCAGATCCTAGACACCTAGTAAAACACTGGGTGGTGGGAAGGTCTGACTTGTACTTAGGGGTCTGAACTGTACTTGCAAAGTCAGCCCATGCAAGGGACCTCTAAGATGGGACAGCAGTTACCCACACCTTGGATACACTGTATTTTTTTTTTTTCTTTTTAAAATTAGAACAAACAGGATCCACATAAATGCTGTTTGCTGCTTTCACGGACCTAATCCCTGAAGCCAACTTTATTTTGACCCTGTAGTATGTGCTCTGTCTTAGCTTGAGTTACCCCCAGAGCAGAGCCTGAAACAAAGACCTGTGTGCAGGAGGTTTATTTAGCATGTGATCGCAGGGAGCAAGAGTAAGGGACCAGAAAGTATAAAGCAGGGAAGAAGAAAAAACTACTACAAGGATATTTTATCAGGTTATTTACTTACTGTGGGCGACTGAGGCTTGATCTCTCCAAGGCCTGCCGAGGAATGTATGGAGAGTTTCAGAACTGTCTACCAAATGATTTGACAGAGGGAGACACTGATTCATAAACTGTTGGCTGAGGGTGACCCCAGGAGGCAATAACTCTCCTGACTTCAGGGCTGTGCAGGGGGAGCATGCCTGGCAGTCGCCCATGGCGTCGGAACAGGTCGCAAAAGATGTTCAGGGCATGCTGAGGGCAACGTGCCATGCGCATGAAGCCACTGGAAGCCCACACAGCAGTTTTCCAAAACCAAGGGTGCAAAACGCAGTGAGGCTGAGAGGATGTGAGGCAGGGCCCAACAGGTGTCTGATACAGAGTCCCCTTCCCAAAATATCTTGATCTCTTCATGGAGAATTCTTAGGGGTAGCAGTTCCTGGCTCTTATTTCCCATTTTCTAGAAGCCAAAAGTCAAAGATACAGATCTGTCTTCTGCCCGACGTAAGCTCACCTCGTCAGCGAGTGGCTGACTCCGGGAGGCAGGCCGTACACACCAGAAGGTCCTGGCAGGGTCGAGTTCAGTTTCCCAAGGTTGTGACCAACCTGATAACATCGCCTTGTAGTGGCGTGGGGCGGGTGAGGGACATCCCAGAGAGTGCAGCACAGATGGGGGCCCGCTGAAGATCCTTCTTATACAGCAGCCGTGTCAGCAGCAACATTCCCACCAGGCTGTCTCTGGGTGGTGGTCTGTATTCCCTACTTCCTGAGTCTCCTTGTTCTCACCATTCCTTCACTTGAATTCCAGCATCCCTTTGGGCCTAGGAACCCCTGGTCCCCTTTCAATAAATTCCCTTTTCCTTAAAATAGCCACAGGCTGATAGAACAATCAGTGAACAAATAGAAGACAAGGTGGGGGTGGGGTGGGGTGGAGAAGTAACACCATCGCCCTCCCTAAACACACTAGAACTCATCACGTGACTCTGCCCTAATTTGTATAACAAACTACTGGATTCAATATCCAGGACATAATATATGTATTATATGTACATGTATGCATTATGCATATCATGGCACCTATATGGCACAGGAGAATTCAATTGTCTCTAGAAACCAGCTCTTGCATAACTTGCTAGAGTTAACATTCATTAAGAAAAAAAGCCCTCTAATTTCTGCCTCAGCAGCTTATCAGTAGGAGTTGTATTAGAAGAGTATACACCCAATTTTATACTGACCTATAGATTGTTCTTGGTTCTGCTTCAGTCTAACTTAACCTTTAATGATATAATTAAAGAGGTATCAGGAAATATGGATTGAATACACACATCTGTCTCTCCTAACACCCTACTCAGATGATGGTGAAGGAATGCAAAAAGGCACACATGCTCAAGGGCAAAGGGAAAGAAAGTATGGAGGACTAGTCACTGAGTCATCAGTTTGAAGAAAGCTGACACCTGAACCAACAGTGGGAGAAGACAACACCCAAAAACAAGCTGACTCATGATGCAGAACCCTGGGCAGTCTCAAGAATTGGAGGCACCAGTTATCTCTGGAGACGAGGATGTAGGGTGATGCTGAAAACAGAAGAATTAGCTGGAAGTCTATGTTTGCCACAGTCAGACATCCCTTCCCCAGCATATGCACCAGGCAAATACCCCTCCCCGACCAGGGCTGAAGGCTGGAAAGGTCAGCCCTGACCAGCTCTAGATTTGAGGACAACGGGCATCACTGAGGTATGCGTGAGGCCCTATGTTGACATGATGGGGGGTTAAATGTATCTGTGACAAGGAAGCATCTTACATTCTAAAAACTTTAGATAGACTACAAATAATTAATCACCATGTAAGTTTCAAAATTTTTACTATCTTAGTGTCTAATTCAATATAACCTTTCTTAGCTATCATTTAAAAATACAACTTCAGGCCCTTGTAGGACCCAGTTCTGCCTTGCTTTTGGTAATACTGTGCTCTGGGAACAGGAGGAGTCCATAACCATGGTCCCCAGCCTAGGAAAGGAAAGCTGCCCTCAATACACCAGCCACCCAGATACTGTCCATTCTTGTGAGTACTTCCAGTGTTCAGCTCTGCTCATTGGTTCTTTATAACCCAGTGGTTATTGAGCACATTCTCTGGAGTTGAGTTGCTTGGGTTTGAACTTTGGCTCTGCTAGTTACCCACTAAGGGATCTTAGACAAAGTACTTAATTTCCTAGTGCCTCGGTTATTTTATGTAAAACAAATTTTTAAAATGCTTCCAACTCTTTGATGGTTATAAGATTTCGGGCTTTTCTATAAAAAAACCACCCATCAAAATCACACTGTGCTCCAAGAGAGAATTTTAAGAACTTTCAGTCATGGAGTAAATATTTGTGCTACCTCAAAATTCATATGTTGAAATCCTAACCCCCCAATGTGCTGCTGTTAGGAAATGGGGCTTTGGGGAGGTGATTAGGTCATAAGATGGAGCCCTCAAGAATGGGATTAGTGCCCTTATAAAGGAGACCCCAGAGAGATCTCCAGCTCTTTCCTCAATGTGAGGATACAGGAAGATGGCGGTCTGCAAATGGGAAGGAGGATCTCACCAGAACCTAACCATGCTGGCACCCTGATCTCGGACTTCTAGCCTGCAGAACTGTAAGAAATACATTTCTATTGCTAATAAGCCACCCAGTCTTGGACAATTTGTCATAGAGGCCTAAACTAAGACACTTTGTTTACAAAACAATGGATTGCTTTATCTTTTTCATGCCCACGGACTGAAATATCAAACAGAATTCTGAATAATGGGATATCTGGATTTTTAAAAAATCAAAACACTATGGCCAAAAATGCCAATTAACGCAGGTGGAAGGAAAGATGGAGCAAGAAAGTTGTCATTTGATGATGGTTTCCATCATCACAGTAATTGATTTAGGCAAGAATCATCAGTGGATTCCAAAACCAGTGGTGAACATTTGGTGAGAAACAGGGTGTTTACATAGCCTTAGAGTATCTCCCCATAACTACTTATTAATTACAAAGGGAAAATAACTTCACAATGGGGAAACCTGGCAGATACTACTTTAAGGAAATGATTAAGTTTAATATCACAATTAATGAGACAAAGTCATATCATGTACCACCTGTTAGGATGTCTTGCAAGATATAAAACGTCACTACTGAATTATTCCCCCCAAATTTGCATAACTTGAATTAATCATGAAGAAATGTCAGATACCCTCAATTTGTGGAGCCTTCTGCAAAATAATTGGTCAGTGTTCTTAAAAAATGCTAAGGTCATGAAAGACAAAACAAGGCTGAGGGACTGCCACAGATTAAAGGGGACTAAAGAGACATGCAAACTAAATTCAGTGCATGATTCTGGATTGGATTCTAGGCTAGGAAAAGAAATACAGATATAAAAGGAATAATTGGGACAATTAGTGACATTTGAATATTGACTGGGGATTAGATAATAGTTATTGTATCAATGTAGAATTTCCTGATTTTTTTAATTGTGCTGTGGTTACGAAAGAAATTGTCCTTGATTTTAGCATATGCACACCAAAGTATTTAGGCATAAAGGAGCATGATGTCTGCAACTTACTCTTAAATAATTGAGAAAAAAAATCTGTGTGTGTGTGTGTGGGGGGGGGTGTATGCCAAGAAAACAGTAAATCAAGTGGGACAAAATGTTTAACAACTGGTGAACCTGGGTAAAGGGCATGCAATATAGGAGTCCTTGCAATCTTTATAAGTTTGAAATGATCCAATATTAAAGGTTATAAAAAAGTAAATATACTATAGCCAAAAGATTGCCTCCTGGATATAATATTCTACAGTTAGCATTCAGTGATTAAGGGTGATCCCAATAGACCAATTCATCCGCTATCTCACCTTTGCAAACTTAGAGAAAACTTGCTTTCAAACTATACCCAGTGCTATGATTAAAAGCAAGATAGCTCCAGACTCCCAGAGTCCACTGAACTTGTAAGTATGAAGGAGAGAATCAACTGTTTTATGAATTATTCTTCTGATAAAATTTCTTGAAGGTAGTTTTAAGTTGTACCTGATATAGAACAGTGTGACACAATCTGTTAGTTACCACCCCAATATCCATTCTTTCTTGGTAACAAACCTCCTGGTTTTTAGGTAGGGATAGTGTTGCTCACAATAAAAGTTGTGTTTCCTAGCTTTCCTTGCAGCTAGGTGTGGCTATGTGGCTAAATTCTGAACGAAGAGACTAAAAAAAATTATATAGCAACTTCCAAGACACCTCCTTAAAAGATGTCATTGGCCCTTTTACCCTTCTTCTTTGTCTCTTCTACCATAATATTACCTGGAGTATAGACTGATGCTTGGATTTCTAGCAGCTATCTTGCGCAACAAAGGCAAGGTTCATATCCTAGGGATGATGGCACAATGAGACAGAAGGAAACCATGTGAGTCCCTTATTAAAAAAGAGCTGTCACACATGGATAGCTCAGTTGGTTAAGCGGCCAACTCTTGATTTCAGCACAGGTCATGATCTCAGGGTCATGAGATCGAGCCCCACATCAGGCTCTGCACTCAGTTTGGAGTCTGCTTGAGATTCTCTCTCTCCCTCTCCCTCTGCCTCTCCCCCCCACTAGCACTCTAAATAAATAAATAAACAAACAAATAAATGAAATCTTAAAAAAAAAAAAGCTACCATACCAACCCTGGAATATCTATCTAGTAAACTTTTATATGAGAGAAAAAGATAAACATCCATTTTGCTCAGTCACTGCTAATTCAAGTTTCTATTATGTATCATAAAACAAAAGGTATTTTTTTTCTTAAATAAGGGGCTGAGGACTGACTTAGACTAATAATTTCTATAAAGTTTTCAGAAAATGATTCACTTCATGAGGGTGGATCCCATCAATGTTTCTCTCTAGAGCCTAGCAGAGCCTTCATATAACTTCAGGTGATGAATTGTTCTGTGGATGAATGAAAATTCTTTTTGTTAAAATAACTCCAAAATGTTGCCTACAGCAATATTAGTAATTCATCCCAACTTGGTATTGTTTTGATTATTATAATTTGCTTCAAAGATCACATTAAATATTTTTCTTTCCCTATGAATCTTGGTCAAAAGTGATATAATCCTTATCTAGTGTTCTAGCTTGTTGAAGACAGAATTTTATGACTATATTGTTTGCTTTCATGGCATTGTTCTTTAATGGATCATAAAGTAAAGGGAATTAGGCAACATAGGGTGAGTTATCCTATAGGCACAATTCCAAAATCTCACTAGTTTTAAACCACAAAGTTTACTTCAGCAGACGGTCCTGCTCCATATCTTTCTTAATCAGCTGATGGAATCCCCTCCATCCGGACAAGAGGGAAAG